GGTCCCCGGGCACCCCCGGGCACCTCCGGGCACCCCAAGGCACCTCCGGGCACCACTAGGCACCCCCGGGCACCTGGGCACCCGGGTGTGCGGCGAAAATCGGCGGCAAACCTAACCTAACCATATGAATCCGTTAGGACCCCTACAGAAGCAAACTCTGATGGGGGAAGATTGAAAACGACCCGGCCTCCATCCGTGAAGCTGTTGAAATTTCAAAGCTTCACGGTGAGGAAATCTCAGGCGAACCGCCCGGCCCGCCGTGTCAACGTGCGACAGGAAGGAGTTATTTACAAGGAAGAAAGATGGAGGTAGGACGGGGAGGAGCTAGGGCGGGGAGGATGGAGCAGGGAGGAGGGCGAGGTGGCGGGGGTCCCGAGGGAGGCAGGGGCATCGAGGAGGGCCTGGCGGCCAAACGATGGAGGATGGAGAGAACCCAGACGTCCAGCTGCTCCAACTTTTTCGATGTATGGGCCCCAGAGATTCTGGACCACTTCTCTAGGGCCGGTTTTTCGTCCCGAGTAATTTTTTGGCGCCCCCGAAACCCGGCGAGCGCCCCCAGAGGCCGAACACGGCCCAAAACCGCCTGCTCGAATTTTTTTGGGAGCGTCGGGGCGAGGAACCTCGCGCGCCAGGGCGAGGAGGGCGAGGAGGGCGAGGAGGGAGAGGAGGGGGCCAGGGCGAGGAACCTCGGGCGCCGCGAGCGACGGGCGCTGCGCCAGCAGCAGCACCAGCCCCGCGGGGCGCGCACCGCACGGCCGTGCGCGCGCGCGGCCGGCCATCCGCTCGCGCGCGCGCGCGGCCCTCCGAGGGCCTCGGGCGACGGCCGCCGCCGGCGGGCGGCGGGCAGCGGCCGCGGCGGCGGGGGCCGCTCGCGGCTGGCGGCGCCAGGAGCGGCCGGAGGGGGAAGCGAGCGACTGCGGGGGCCCGTCGCGGGCGTGGCGTTCCCCAACCTGCCCGCGTCGTGAGGAAAGCCACGGGCGTTCTCCTCCTCCTCCTCCTGCTCTCCTCCTCCTCCTCCTGCTCCTCCTCTCCTCTCCTCCTCCTCCTCCTCCTGCGAAGCATTTTGGGCAGTTTTCGGCCTCCCGGGGCCCTCGCTGGGCCTCGGGACCGTCAGGAAACGGCTTGGGCCGGAACGCTGGCCCTGGGGAAAGGGTCTGGCCTTCCAGGGACTGCGTATGGAAAAAATCAGCACACCGCATGTCTATGTTCAGGCCACCGAGCGGACGAGGGAAGAGAGAGGTGCAGAAGGTGGAGGAGAAGGAGGAGGAGGAGGAGGAGGAGGAGGAGGAGGAGGAGGAGGAGGAGGAGGAGGAGGAGGAGGAGGAGGAGGAGGAGGAGGGGGAAGGCAAGGGGGGAGGATGAAACTGCTCTGCGAGGTGCGCCAGGGGTGCTACCGGTCCAGGCATTAAAGAGACAAGACTTGGCCTAGGCGGAGCCTGAGGCGGAACCCCCGACCAAAACCCCATTGTCCGGGGGTCACCCTGTGTGACTGGGATGGGGACCGTCCGGGTGCACCCAGGCCCAGGGGAAGGGGGAGGGATAAAGGGGCGTAGAATCAGGCGTAGGAAGAGTGGGAGTGGCTTCGGCAGCTTACAGTAAGGGCCCGACCGCAAGAAACCTTCCACAAGAAACCCAACCCTGACACCACAGCATGTCCATTGATTTTTGGTGTGGGAACGTCACGCTTTCCATCGCAAAACCATCGAAACCCAAGACACCCAGGACACCCTGGAGGCAAGCAGGGTGTAGTGGCTTCGGCAGTTTAGTGTCGAGCTGGCGTCGGCGCTGGATTCTATCACCGCGTGGGCCGTTCAATCAGCCCTGAACTCCCCTCGCGCCATGCGAGCAGAGCAGCGGTGCAATCTGTGGTTCGCAGCGCACGACCGGCTTGCGAAGGGGACCGCCTCGACTGTCGCCATCGACTCCCAGTGGGCCAAATGCAGCTCGCGAGCGTTGCTCTGCCCTCGCTGGATAGAGGCTGCCAGTCGTCTCTCGATCTCCTTTTGCCGTGGTCGACTTCGCAGAATCCAGCGCCTCGATCACACTATAGTAGACGCATGCGACAAGATACAGTAGCAGCTCGACCACAAGAAACCTTCCATAAGAAGCCCAACCCTGAGACCCCAGGGCGTCCATTGACTGTTGGTGTATGAACGTCATGCTCTCCATTGCAAAGCCATTGAAACCCAAGACACCCAGGGCACACTGGAGGCAAGCAGGGTGTTTCTTGGCATGAGTCTCCACTGCATCTTGCTCTGCGGACACATCATTCGTCACTCTTTGAGGTTCCAAAGGCGTCCCCGAGCTGCTGTGGGGCCCCAAGGCCATCGTGGGATCGGGAACTTCCGGGGGGTAACTGCTGGCATGGCGGTGTCTTATCTGAAGGGCCTGCTGCGTGTCTTGCGAGTCGAGGGGGCCCGTGTGGCCACGCGAGTAAGTATGCACGGGCAGGTCTGCGCTGGATCGGATCGCGAAATCGTAGCGGATCGAGAGCGGATCGAATCGCCAGCGAATCGTCCCGAATCGAATCGGTATCGAATCGCCGCGCCCCCGTCTGGCTAGCCCTGGCCGATGCCGGTGAATAGAGCCGGATCGCATCGAATTCGAATCGCGGCCCCAGCCAACGAATCGAATCGTACGCGGCCCTGACAGGCCCGGGCACATGTCGCCTCACGCGCCTAGCGCGCAGAAGGACGCTCGCGGACCAGGCTGTCACACAGAGGATCTATCTGGTTTTCTCTGATGGTATTTTTCACGACGTGTTGGAAGTGCTCGGCGGGACGATCATATCATAGCCCCCACAGCTGAGGGGGCGTGGCGGGGCCGCTGGCAGACTGCGAGGCTTGAACGAAAATTTGAAGAAGGCCGCCGCAGGCGCCGAACTGTTTGGAATCTTACACGAAGAGCCCGCCGCAGGCGCCGACTGCGGCTTTCGTCCAAACGACGTGGGTGGGTCGCGGGTGGGTCGCGGCGCGGGTGGGTCGCGTGTGGGTCGACGACGACAAGAAACACAATCCGCACCGCGGAATCAAACAGCAGCCATGCATCCAGGGACCGTGCGAGACCGTTTGGCCCCATCGCTCCGATATGGGCTCTTTTCGTTAGCATGGGCAACGGGTATCACCGTTTCCGTGAGCGGCTCCACGCCGCTGGGGAGCCATCTGCTGCTGCGCGAGCGCTGCCGTACAGCCATTCTGCTCAACGGCCACTAGCTCCGTGGGAGCTGTCCTGGCATGCTGCTGGAGACTCGCCGGCCATTCCCATCATTCGTTTTGTTTTTGTTTGTGTTTGTTTTTGTTGCTGTTTGTTTTTGTTTTTGGTTTTGTTTTGTTTTTGTTGTTGTTGTTGTTGTTGTTGTTGTTGTTGTTGTTGTTGAAGATTATTACTTCTAAAGAATAATTATTGTTGGGACCCCTGGTGCATGACCCCCCCGCCGCGCCTAGGCCGCAGCCTCATTTTCATCATTTTCGTGAGGAAGTCTCAGGCAAAACGGGTTGGTCCGGATCCGGTTGTGTTGTTACGATCGGTTTTCCCTTGCAAAAAAAAGCTAAAGTGGACATTTCTTGTTCTAACATAACCAAACTTCAAGAATCCCTTGCAAAAAATAAGGTAAAGTGGACATTCGCGCGCGCAAGACGAAATCCTTCCAAAACCTTAGTTTTCGCAGCGATTTTAACATAAAAACATCAAAAAACCAATGTTTTTTTCCAAAAAAATTTGTCAAAATGTTCATCCCGCGCGCTCTTGCGGATTCGTAGGAAACCCAACACTTTTTAATCATTTCTGTCAAACGGGCTTTTGCGAGCAACTTTTTCGAACTTCTGCAACAACGGTTGCGCACCTGCCAGGGCCATCATCCCTGTCAAATAATACCATGCGGGACACATTCGTTTTTTCTTCGCGCGCGCACGCCGTCGTCGTCGGCCGCGGGGCCCTGAATAGTAGCCACGGTCGTCCGCATGCCACGAAGTGAAGTGTCCGAACGTCATAGGGCGGGAAGCTGGGTGTGGGTGGTGGCGAAGAGTCGTTTGGAAATTTGGTAGAGCTTGAACCGGCCCCCCCACAAAGTGGGGGTATTGCCCGCCTCCTATGAAAACCCTGGCACTGGTGAGAACGGTGTGTCCCCACGTGCTAGTAATTGTTGTTGTTGTTGTTGTTGTTGTTGAACATTATTACTTCTAAAGAATAATTATTGTTGGGGCCCCTGGTGCGCGACCCCCCCGCCGCGCCTAGGCCGCAGCCTCATTTTCATCATTTTCGTGAGGAAGTCTCAGGTAAAACGATGTGTCCAGATCCGGTTGTGTTGTTACGATCGGTTTTCCCTTGCAAAAAAAAAAAGCTAAAGTGGACATTTCTTGTTCTAACATAACCAAACTTCAAGAATCCCTTGCAAAAAATAATGTAAAGTGGACATTCGCGCGCGCAAGACGGAAATCCTTCCAAAACCTTAGTTTTCGTAGCGATTTTAACATAAAAACATAAAAAACCAATGGTTTTTCAAAAAAATGTCAAAATTTCATCCCGCGCGCTCTTGCGGATTCGTAGGAAACCCAACACTTTTTAATCATTTCTGTCAAACGGGCTTTTGCGAGCAACTTTTTCGAACTTCTGCAACAACGGTTGCGCACCTGCCAGGGCCATCATCCCTGTCAAATAATACCATGCGGGACACATTCGTTTTTTCTTCGCGCGCGCACGCCGTCGTCGTCGGCCGCGGGGCCCTGAATAGTAGCCACGGTCGTCCGCATGCCACGAAGTGAAGTGTCCGAACGTCATAGGGCGGGAAGCTGGGTGTGGGTGGTGGCGAAGAGTCGTTTGGAAATTTGGTAGAGCTTGAACCGGCCCCCCCACAAAGTGGGGGTATTGCCCGCCTCCTATGAAAACCCTGGCACTGGTGAGAACGGTGTGTCCCCACGTGCTAGTAATTGTTGTTGTTGTTGTTGTTGTTGTTGTTGTTGTTGTTGTTGTTGTTGTTGTTGTTGTTGTTGTTATGGTTTGTTGTTGTTTTGTTTTGTTTTGTTTTGTTTTCGTTTCTTCCTCGCCGCCGCTGCCTCGGCCCACGGCTGGCCCGCCGCTCCTGGCGAGGGCTGGGCATGCGGGGACTGGTCCGAGGCCATGCGCCCGCTCAAACCGCAGTCGCCCGCCGTCTACTTCTTGGACTTCGAGGCCTTGAGCATGGCTGCTTCCTTCTCCTCCTGGAGCTCCTTGAGGCGCTGGTCCCTGGCAGCCGACTTCTTCTCCTCGATCTTCTTCTGCGCCTCCTTCTGCGCTGCCAGGCGCTCCTCCTTCTCCTCTGCGGTGCACTTCATCCCGCGCTTGGCATAGGCCTGGTTGCGCACGAATTTGCAATTCATGCCCTGCATGGACATCTTCCGTGGGCGTCGGGTCTTCTTGATGCCATTCCGGTGGTTCTTGTAGACCTGGTTGTGGCCAGTGTGGTTCTTGGACTTCGCCATGGGCTTTCGCGCGAATTGGGCACAAGATGCGGGCCAACGGGAGTATCGCTGTCCTTGAGCCAGAATGGCTATGCCACCAGATTATGAATTTATGGGGCTATTCGTGGTCCATGAGTTCCTCGAGAATAACAAAGTGCGGATGCCGTCATGATCATGATACATACCACCTGCACTTCACGACCCTCGAAGGCGTTCTCCTTGCGCTGCAACAAGATACAGCGGAAAGGCGTCCGTGAGCAGGCCTGTCGGAAGATGTGGTAAACACGACGTGACTTGCATATTTTCGCTGCCCGAGGGTGATGCTAAGAGCTAAGAGCGACAGGTACATTGAGATAGCGCTCGATTTAGATACCGACTTCGAATGCTTATTCGATGTTTCTATTCGGGGAAGTGTTTACCCCGCTGCCTAACCCCGTCCCTGGGAGTCTGACGGAAGGGGTTGCGAGGTGTCAGAGGGCCCGTTCTGGTCCACGATTGAACTTCGATGGCTCCAGATGGCCCCAGCCCCAAAGGTTCCAAGAGCACCTTTGGAACAACCCAAGAGGAGTTTGTTTTTGCCACCTAGGGGCCCGCTCATCGAATGCCGCCCTCTTTTTTGGCGATGGGCTCCAGGATGGCGCCAAGAGCCCCAACTGGTCCGAAAAAGAACCCAAACGGAGTCCCACTGTCCCCTCTCGCGGCAATCCGCCCGGGAACTGCTCCTGGATGGGCTGATGTGGACACGCAGAGCGTCAAGACTGCCACGTGGGGATCCCGAACAGTGCGGTGACAAGCCGCGCGGTGACCTCGAACTCCCCTCAGACCTCACCGCACAGTCTGTCACCGCACGGTTTTGGGACCCTGGAGGCGACCCAAGTCCCAAGATCGTGCGGTCACCCCGACTCCGCACTGGCTCACCACACGGTGCGGTCACCGCACCGCCTGGGGGCCCCCAGAGCCACTGTTTGGGGTTTGCGCGCTGATGCCGTTTCTCTCCTCGCCAGCCCGACCCTCACGATGCCGCGCAGCAGACCTCGTCGTTTCTGGCGGCCCCGCCGCGGCCCGCGAGGTTCTCGACCGCCACGCGCCACGCCCTGAACGTCTCGCCGTCCTCCGCGGCCAGCATGCACGGCGCCTGTAGAGCAACAGAAAGCGGCATGACCATAAGCTGTTGGAGCTCCGCGCGGAATTCTCGGATCGGCGCTGGACCCCCCTCCCTGGCGCGCAGAGCGCGCCAGGTGCGGTGCCCGAGGCGCCGCCGGGGGGGCCCCCGCGCAGGTCCAAGAAACCCGCGCGGAGCTCCGAAAGTGGATGTTTGTGCAATGTTTTCTTCTCCGAGCCTGGGCTGGGCCACCGGGGTGCAGCAGGAACGTGTACGGGGCCCCGCGCGGGGCGCTGCAGCTGCCGCCCTCGAGGCGCTCCATGGCCACCTCCTCGCCGAGGGCGATCTCCCCCGCCTCCTCCACGCCGCCCGAGTCCACGCTGAAGCGGAGGGCGTCGCGGTGCAGCACGCACCAGCGCCTCACCCAGGGGGAGCCCTCCGAGGGCTCGCGGGTGTGCAGCCAGGCGCCCAGCAGCCCGCCGCCCTCTGCGTCGTCCTCGCAGCCGCGGGCGCCGAAGAGCGGCGGCACCCAGGCGCCCAGCAGCCCGCCGCCGTCTGCGCCGCCCTCGCAGCCCCGGGCGCCGGAGAGCGACGGCTCGCCGAGGGGCCCCGGCGGGGCGGGCTCCGCCCCCCTGCCCTTCGCCTCCTCCGCGGCCCGGCCGGAGCGCGGCTCCCTGGGCTCTGCCGCTGCCGCCGCCCCCGCGGCCTGCGCGCTGGGGGCGGCGCCCCGCGGCCCGGGCGGGGGCGGGCCGGCGCCCGGCGCGCCCGCGCGGGCGCGCGCCGCGCTCTGCAGGGTCCGCATGCGCACGATCTGGTGGGGCCAGTCCTGCGGGCTCGCAAGCGACTGGCGCGCGGGCGCCCGGCGGCCCGCCGCCGCGCCCTCCCGCGGCCGGGAGCTGGGGCGGAGCTCGAAGAACACGACGTAGGCCTCCTCGGTCACCACTTGCCTGCCGGCCGGCAGAGGGAACACCCGCTCGTCGTCGAAGCAGTACCACTGCCTCTCGGGGCCCTCTCCTACCCGGCAGGTGGCCGTGTAGTGCCCGCCGCCGAAGGCGCCCCGGTGGTTCGCCACGCAGGCGAGCTCGTAGACTGCGCCCTCCTTCTGGGAGGAGGAGCAGTGCTCCAGGAGGTTCAGCTCCAACGGCACGTCGACGCGGTGGTCAACCTTACGAATCTGGAGCGACCGCCGGTCGAACTCGAAGCGTTTGAGGTGAAGCACCAGCACGGGGGGCAACTTCCACAGGTCTATCTTCTTCGTGGCGTCCACCAGCGTCTCGCACTTTGGGCAGCGCCACCTGTCGCCGCCCGTGAGCAGCTCCTCGTCGAGGTACAGTCGGATGGCGTCGTCGAGCGTGTGGGTGGACCGCGCGACGGGCACCGACAGGTACAAGAAGGGGTCGAAGCAACGCGACTTGTGGCCGCACCGTGTGCACCTCAGCGTGGAGCGCACCTGGCCCTGCAGCAGGTCGACGAGAAAGGACTTGCTGCGCTCGAGGTGCCGCATCCACGCGAGCGCCGCCGTCCACTCCTCCCCCCTCTCCTCCGCGAGCCTCGCGTCCCGCCGCTCGTCCTCCTCGCTCAGCGGCGGGGGCGGGGAGGCCACGCGGTCGAGGTCGGCGTGCAGGCCGTCGATGAAGAACGAGAGGAACTCCTGCGGACCCACCCGCGGGGCGGGAAGTGGGATCCCGCGGACCCACCCGCGGCCGCGGGGCGGGAGGCGGGACCCCGCGGACCCACCCCGCGGACTGGAGGCGGGACCCCATGGCCCACCCCGCGGCCCGCGGCCGCGGGGGGGGAGGCGGAACTCCGCGGACCCACCCGCACCACCCCCCGCGGCCCACCCCGCGGCCCGCAGGGGCGGGAGGCGGGACCCCGCGGACCCACCCGTGGGAACTCCTGCACGTCCTGCTGCTCGCCGCCCGCGAGCAGGTGCGGCGCCAGCTCCGCCAGCCGCTGCTGCAACGCCTCGGGGTCGTGGCGCCGCACCGCGCCCTGCCACATCGCGACCAGCAGCTCGGCCACCGCGCGCGCCAGCTCCCCCTTGGGGCCGCCCTGGCTGGCGCCCTCGCAGTCGAGGGCGTGGCTGGCGCTCACGGAGGAGCAGACAACGGCAGAAACACAACAGAAGCTTTCGGAGGTCCGCGCGGGGTTCTTGGCTCTGCGCTGCCCCCCTCCCTGGCGCGCGGAGCGCGCCAAGGGCGGCCCCAGAGGCGCCTCCTAAGGGGCTCCCAATGCAAATCCAGGAACCCTGCGCGGAACTCCGCAAGCTTCTGCTTGTGCCGCTTTCTGCCCCCTGAGAGCTCAGGAAGTAGCCCGCGAACGCCGCCACGTGGCAGAGGCACTGCAGCCCGGCGTTCATGAAGCAGGTGTTGCCCCGGTTCCGGAGGCCCACCTTTAGAAGAAGAAGGAGAAACGGCATAAACAGAAACTTTTGGCGCTCCGCGCGGAGCGCCAACACTTTTTGTTTATGGCGTTTTCTTCTTCGACACCTTGCCGTACGGCGCCGCCGGGGCGGCGTCCAAGAAGGCCGCGCCGAGCCCCTCCAGCGCGGCCCGCGCCCCGGCGGTCACGTCCGCCGCCGACACCTCGGCGGGGACCTCGAGCCAGGCGGTGCCGCCGCCGTCCCGGCGCTGCTGGAACCCCGCGGCCAGGAGAACCGCCTCGGCGCCGGGGCAGCCGAGGGCCCTGGCCACCGTGGCGGTCATCGGGCGCCCAGGGCCGCCGAGGGCGCGGTACCGCGGCTCCCCGGGGGCGCGGGCCAGGTTGCCCAGCACGGCGCTCAACACCGCCGCGGTGCGCGCCCCGGCCAGCCGCTCTGGGGTGCTCGAGTGCAGCAGCGTCCTCGCTGCGGCAGCCGCGTCCTCCGCGCCCATCGCGGCCGACATGGCCGGCGCATGAGCGCGGGGGGGGGGGCGCGGCCCCTTGCTGGAGAGAGTTGCGCTCAACAGCTTCATGCGTTCAACAACGTAGTGCTGCTTGCACCGTGTCAACAACGCCGTGGCAACAACGTAATAAACATAACACAGTGTCTCAGCAGAGCAGTGTCAACAGGAGCTGGAGGAATGCTTCTCCTGCTCCCCTGCGTCTCGCGACCTCCTGCGCCCCCCCTTTATTGCACCTGGCTCGGCAGCACATGCCGGAGGGCCTCTGCAGCATGGCTGTTGAGCTCCGCGGCCTGGCCCGCATGGTTTTCCCTTCTCATGAACTGGATTTATCTACGTACAGTAGGAGCTCGACCACGAGAAACCTCCAACAAGAAACCCAATCCTGAGACCCCAGGACTTCCATTGATTTTTGGTGTGGGAACGTCACGCTTTCCACCGCAGAACCATCGAAACCCAGGAGACCCAGGGCACCCTGGGCAAGGTGTGTCTTGGCATGAGTTTCCACCAGATGGGCAACACGGACGTCTCACGCTCGCGCTCAGAACGAGAGCGCTTCCCAACAGCTGTCCTCAGACCCTTCACGGGCAGCATCCTGGCCATGGCGACGAGAGCCCCTTCAGAGAGCAAAACAGCTGGGTGTGAGCGACACGTGATGCAGTTGCTTACAGCAGCAGGCCTCGAGCAGGACCACTGGTCTCCATGTCCCAGCTCTCCCTTCTGCGGGTGGACGAGCAGCCCCCGGGGGCTTCTTCTTCCTCTTTCCTCTTTCGGTCTCCACCGCGCGAAGCCAGCCCAGAATGGATCATGCACGCGGGGAGGGGGGGATGCGAGGGGGGAGGGGGGAGGGAGGGGCCCTGCCTGGGCTCTCAGAAGCTCCGCGCCCGGCCCCCCGGCGCTTCGAGCAGCCGCGTGCCGGCGGGCGCGGGGAGACCTCGTCCAGCTCCGCCAGCCACTCCTTCGGGTACTTGCTCGGGTCCGTCTGGCGCATGTGGCTGAACCGCTTCGCGTAGGCCATGCTGATCGGGTGGAGCTGGCACGGGCGGGGCCGGGCCCGGCCGCGGCCCGCGGACCCGCGGAGAGGAGCAGAGTCGCGCGACCGCTGCCCGCTCGCCCGCGGGCGGGCCCTCCCGCCGGGCGCGGGGACTCGGCCCCTCGGGGGCCCCGGGGGGCGCGCTCGGCGGCGGCCGCCGCCCGTCCCGCCGAGGGCGAGGTTTGAGGGCGCCACCTGGGCGACAGGGCCCTGGGCTGGCCGCGCCCGCCCAAGGGGCGGCTGCCGAGGTGCGTCCGTGCCGCCAGCCCCGGCCCGGGCTCGGTCAGATCAGCAGGGGGACGCGACTGCATCGATGATCCTCCATGCCAGCGCGTGCTTGTCCGCAGGCGCCCTTCAAGACGACGCAGCCAATGTGACGAGGCCCGAGCGCAGTGTACAAAGATTCGGCTCACAGATGTCCCGAGGATCGTCGACTGTACACTGGCGGCGAGCCTGGTCGGTCCAAGCCGGTACCAGGACTGCTGTCCTTCTCCTTCTGGCCGCTGGGTCAAGCACACGTCGGCGTCAGTGCGCCGAGCAAACGGAAAGCCACGAGTCTCTCAAGCGGTGGCTTTCGCGGGGATGAGGAGAACCGTGTCTTGCTCAGACTCCCAGCCAGCTGGGATTTCCCACGCAATCCAGACCTTCGTCCAGAGGGCATCGTATCTTATATGGAGCCAGTGCTGAGCCTTATGGCTGGCGTTCCCAACAGGAGTTGACGGATAAGGACTCAAAGTCACTTGAGGGAAACGCATGGTCGTACTGGGGCAGCTGCGAAGACAAGAATCCATTACCAATTGGCATCGCGCGACTTTCCGTTCTGCCTCAGAAAAGCCCTCCCTCCGCCAGTGCCGCTGGCGCTGACATTGTCCCTCAATGAGTCAGCCGTCATACTCCTTCGCCAGGTCAGGTCTCTGAGACTCGTATCAAGACGGTGCACTGATCGTCGGATCCCAATGTGTTTCTCGCAGGGCCTCGTCGGGTGTATTGCCACTGAACAGGGCGTCCTGCTGCTCGCGGGTAGCATATATCTATCAACATCATTGCCAACAACTCGCCCACACAAAACGGGCCAGAGGCGTGCCAAAATCTGGGGAAGCAGGCCTTCTTTTTCCAGTTCGCGCGCGCGAGGGGGCCCCTCAGGGTCCCAGTCCGAAAGATACCCCGGGCGGTCCCTGGGCGATCGGGGTCGCGGATGCCAGAGTTCTGGGGGGCGATCTTCAGGGCCCCCAAGAGCTGCCCGGGAGCGCCCCGAAGAACCCGTCGGAGCTCCACGAGGTCCTTCGAGCCGGGATCCCTGGGTGGCAAGTTCCACGGTGGCCTCCACCTCTTGGCAATGGTCAGATACAGCTCCAAGAGGCTTGGTTCTTCTTCTTGAAAACGCCCTGGGCGTTTTTTTTTTGGGGGGGGGGGGCATGTGTGTCTTTCAACCGTTTTGTACATAAGACTCTTGACAAGCCAGAACGCACAAAAAAGGCTGTTTCTATTAGCGCTTCTTGCTGTTTTTTTTGGGGGGGGGTTCAGGCCCGCCGCTGTGGACCTTCATTTTTGTTTCAAGCTCCCGCTCTCCTGTTCCTGCCGCCTCCCGTCTCTCCCGCTCCTCGCGCAGAGCTGCTGAAACAACGCCCAACAAACACGCCCTGACACCGGTCTAAAACTAGTGCGGAAGAGGCCCAGAGGCACCGCAACCAGCCAGCAGGGACGACTACAGAAGCGCGAAATGATACATATAGGGAGGGCTAGGCGCAAGGAGAAGGAACGGAGGACGTGGTAGACGGCAATGTGGAACAGCGCAATCATCTCTTCTGAAAACGCTAAAACATGAAGCTCGAAACGCAAACACCGTGCTAGTTTTTCTCTTTCAAAATCGTTTGCTTACATTGCTGGGACCAAAAAGCGTGAACAAACATGGCTTCCGACACAAATAATTAAAAGCAGTAGAGAAGCGCTAGGAGGTAACATTTGCTTGATTTTGCTAGAAAGCTGTTGGAAAGCTTTTGGACAACATTTGCCCCCCTTTCAATCTTCCGCCCGCCAAAGACGGCCCGTTCAGCCCCCAAGATTGCGAACATTCAGGCCAACAGAACCCCATGACGGCCATGATGCAGTCTCCAAGGGGGCCCGAAGACGGCCCCTGAGGCCTGCCAAGAAGCCTCCAAACTCCCCCGAAAGGCCTCCCCATAGGCCCCCAATGTTCCCTCGAGAAGACCCCCCGAATGCCCCCAAGAGGCCCCAGGAGGCTCCCAAATGGCCCCCGCGAGCAGGCAGGCAAATGCCAGCGATGCTGCAATGAGGCCCCCAAGAGGCTCCAAAGGCGGCCCGAGAGGGCCTCAAAAGGAGTCCAAGAGAGGCCCAAGACGGGGAAGACGAGCAACCGCTTCGAGTCCTCTGCCCGAGACGCCCATGAGCGCCCACGCAACACTTCAAGGAAACTGCCACCACCACCCATCACAGCGCTCCAATGGCAAAGAACACGCGGGCGACCACCCGCGATGGAATAGTCTGGGCCAGCGGGATGCTCGAAACGATCCGCCGCCCCACCGGGTACGGCGTGTGAGACCACCACCGCATGATCTGCAAGGGCTGTATCTCGGGAGTCCTCTCACCAACGCGCTCTTCATACCCATCCCTGCCTCTGAGCCTCTCCGAGCCCCTCCTGGGGTCCTCCCCGCGGGCAGCTCGTTCCGCTGGCCCGAGGGCTTTGGGCGCGGCCAGGGCGGCGCCCTCTGGCCACCACTTCCGCCCCGAAGCGACCCCCGTTTCAGGTGCTAGGTTTCTGGGCGCCGCGGGGCCCTCTCAAAGACCTCGCTGGGAGCCACCCAGGCCGGTTTCTGGGGGCCTGTTGGGGCCTCCTGGGCTCATCTTGCCCGTCAGTGGGGCCACCTTAGGCTTTTCCGGATGCCTATCCACCGCCCTTTGGGTTCAGAACACATGCAAAACCCGCTGGGCAAACCAACTAGGAAAACACGTGGGATTCTGGCGATTCCAACCGTCTCGGGCTTCTCCTTGCGCCTCTCTTGGACCTCCCGTGCATCTCCCCGGGCTCCTCGCAGCTTGGAGTCTGCGGGTGCTCTCTGCGGACGTCCTGACTGCTTCGCGGCCCCCCCCCCCCGAGCTGTGTCTGTTTTTTGTTCTGGGCAGCTTTCCCGGTCGTCCGGGGCGGGCGCCCCCAGAGAGAGCCCCCGGGGGCCTCTCCAGGATCCCAAAACGAAGTTTAGGTCGGGCATGTCCCCCTAGAGGCGGCTTGTTGTAGAAAAACAAACAATAACCAACACATGTTCAAAATTGGCAAAAATAGTAGAACAGTCGTCCCTATTTTTCATAATAAGAACAACTATTCCTCCTGTAGAGGGACATGCCCGACTTACAACTAAGTGGCAGTGCTGTTGTCCCCCTCCGTGCCCCTCGATCACCCCAGTTCCTTTTTGGGCCGTCTCGGGGCCCCCCAGCGCCCCTTCTGGGCGCCCTCCAGGCCTCATTGCGGCCGTCCTAGCGGCTTGTCGGGCCCCTCCTCGGCTCCTAAGCCAATGGGGCGGCGGTGTCTGCGCCCTCGGGGAAGTAAGGGGAGGGAGGGGAGAGGAGGGGGGAGAGGGTGAGGATTGAATCGTCGCCGCGGAGCAGAATCATGAACGAGTAATGGTTGCTCTCGTGACATGAAAATCGCACTCCAGACTCCAGATACAGCCCTCTTATCCGACTCGTCTTTCCCCTCTCAAGCCTTCTCTTTCTCCACCTCCTCCTCCTCCTCCTCCTCTTCCTGTCTGGGGCACTCGAGCCTCTGAGCCCACAAGGAACTGTACCATCAAGATGACGCCACCAGACACCACCCCCAGACAGACATTCAAGCGTTCATGCCCTCCCAGCCTGGTCCATCACGCGATCCATGATCTCGTAGAGCAAGAAATCGCCCCGCCTCTCGCGCATGACCTCGGAGGAAGCGACTCTGCAACGACAGATTCCGCACCCCGCGGCACACCATCAGGAAGACCGCCCCGCCATGCCGGGGGGGGGCGCACCGAGAGGAACGTGAGAACATCGCCTGGAGGGTCACCAGGCTTAAGTCGGGCCTGT